TGCTGGTTCATTGGAGATGGAGTCTTGAGGACTGCTCAGGCTGGCTTCAGCCGTTGATCTTCTGAATCTCAACTTCCTAAGTAGCTAGGATTATAGGCATGAGCCTCTATACTAAAGAACATTTATCTAGGGGAAAAATGCTTGACATAATCTCTGGGGAATGAAAAAACCCATCTAGCCTTTCATTTTAGCTTGAAAAAAATGGTATTCTATTAATTTTTTTGTTTTTGTTTTTATTTTGGGTCCGGTCGTGGGCCTGAACTCGGCCTGGGCGCTGCTCCTCAGCTCTTCAGCTCAAGGCTAGCGCTCTACCACTTGAGCCACAGCACCTCTTCCGGCTTGTGTTTTTGCTTATGGGTGCTGAGGAATCGAACCCAGGGCCTCAAGCATGCAAGACAAGCGCTTTACCACTGAGCCACCTTCCCAGCCCTTAATTTTTAAACTTTACTTGTGAGAGAAAATATCAAACTCAGGTCTCAGACTCCTGGTTCTGTGCTGAACAAGGAGAAACACTGTCACTGTATGTTGGCCCACAGAGTTTAGGTATCTTCAGTTAAGGAAATGTAAATGACAGAAGGAAAGGAATTCATATTTATTGAGTGTTTATTTTAATTTTAATTAATTAATAATTGCCCATCCTGGGGTTTGAACTGAGTTTCATAGATTTTTCTGCCTTGTAAATAACTATGATATAGGTGTGAGCCACTGGTGTCTAGCTTGAGTATCTATTTTATAATCAATTCCATGCCAAGTGATTTGCTTATAGGATTTTATCACAATCCTATGAGGTAAATTCTATCATGCCAATCTATCATCAATATCATCCAACAATTCCAGTTTTATTTTATTGAGCACTCACTTTGTTCCAGAAAGCATTCTGGATGCCTTATAGGCATTATCTCTGATACAACAATTCTGAAAGCAGAGCCAGGATGAAGGGGAGGTCAATGAGGAAAGTGGCATTCACCAGGTACAAAATCTGAGAAGAAGAAAGGTACCAAAACTCAAGAGTGCAGATAAAGGATGTTTTAAGGCAATATTTTAAAAAATGAAATAAATTCAAATTAATTCATAATGAACAAAATGTTGATAAGATGCACTAATTTTTGTTTTATCATCTATGTTATTGTACAATGGGAGAAGGCATTTCCTTTTCTTTTCTTTTTTTTTTTTTGTCAGTTGTGGGTCTTGAACTCTGGGCCTGGGCTCATGTCCCTGAGCTCTTCTGCTCAAGGCTAGCACTCTACCACTTGAGCCACCGCACCACTTCTGGTTTTCTGGTGGGGAATTGGAGATAAGAGTCTCACAGACGTTCCTGCCCATGCTAGCTTTGAATTGTGATCCTCAGATCTCAGCCTCCTGAGAGGCATAAGCCACTGGTACTCATCATAAAGGCATTTCTAATCAGCCACTGTTCCTTGTTTTGGGGCATAGGACTAGGCCTTGCTAGGCAGCTTATGAGAGTTGACAATGATTTGTGAACAGACTGAATGACATGTAGTTATGTTTTTGTTGTAGAGCTTTTATGAACTTTTCCCAGTTGATTCAAAATATAAGTTTGTTTTGTTTGTGGTACTGGAGCTTGAACCTAGAGTTCATATATGCTAAGAAAGTGCTTTATCACCAAACCCCATCCCTTATCCCCTTAGAAGATATTTTGAATACATTTGGTTGCATGTATTTTGTTTGTTTTTGCTCCAAGTTCAATATGGTTCTGTGTATCACACTGCCTGACAAATTAGCATTATTATGATTATTTGACAAATGCAAAATGAGGTCCAAAGATTTTAGCTGATGAATTACTAGGGATCACAAAGCAAGTAAGCTAGGGGGTTGGACCTCAAACTTACGTTTTCTTCTAAAATCATGTTGCCTTTTTGTTTAAGATGTTAGACCAAGGCTGACTACCCGTGACTTATGCTTGGAAGACTGCGAGTGAAGAGATTGTAGTTTGAGGCCAGCCCAGGCCTAAAAAAGTTCTCAGAGACCCTTTCTCAATGAAGAGCTGAATATGGTGGCACATGCCTGTTGTCTTAGCTTCCAGAAGTTCAACAGGTGGATCGTGCTCAGGCGGGTGCCTAGGTAGGAAGTGAAACCTTATCTGAAAAGTATTAGTAGGAATCAGAACAAGAGGTGTGGTTCAGCTGCTCATTTAGCAAGCAAGAGGTCTTAAGTTCAAACCCAGTACTTTCAAAAAAGGAAAGAGCTGGGGGGGGGGAGGGAGAAGGAAAAGTCTTAGATCAGGGGTGACAGTTTTTTTCCATAAAAGCCAGATGGTAAATATTTAAATACTTTCAGCTTTGTGGCCCATGATTATAACCACTGAACTCAGCTATTAGGCAGGAAAGTAGCCATGGGCAGTATAAAGATTGGTGTGGTCAGCTTTGGCTTGTGGATAACTATGATCAGATTATAACAAAATGTCTCACGTAAAATAAGCTATTGCTAACAAAGTTAGAGAAGATAGCTTAACTTGGATTTTTTTTGTTATTGTTGTTGTTGGTAGTGGTGATGGTAATGGTGTGTGTGTCTGTGTGTTTGTGGGGGGGGGGTATTGGGCTTGAGCACTGTCTAGCTTTTTTACTCAAGGCTGATGCTTTACTACTTGAGCCACAGCTCTATTTCCAGCTTTTTTTTTTTTGTCAGCCGTGAGGCCTGAACTCAGGGCCTGGGCGCTGTCCCTCAGCTCTTCAGCTCAAGGCTAATGCTCTACCATTTGAGCCACAGAGCCACTTCTGGCGCGCGCGCGCGCACGTGTGTGTGTGTGTGTGTGTGTGTGGTGCTGAGGAATCGAACCCAGGGCCTCATGCATGCAAGGCAAGCACTCTACCACTGAGCCACCTTCCCAGTCCCCCACCTTATTTGTGTGTGTGTGTGTGGTGTTAATAATTGTAAATGAGAGTCCCATAAGATGGCACTGGTGGCTCACGTCTGTAATTCTAGCTACTCAAGAGGCTGAGATCTGAGGATCGCAGTGCAAAGCCAGCCCAGGCAGGAAAGTCCATGAGGCTCTTATCTTCAATAAACTAGAAAACCAGAAGTGGCACTGTGGCTCATTTGGTAGAGTGCTCGCCTTAAGCTGGAGCTGAGGGACAGCACCAAGGCCCTGAGTTTGGGCCCCACAACTGACAAAAAGCCCTATGACCCCCACACACAAAAGAAGTCTCAGACTTTTCTGCTCAGGTTGGCTTCAGACCTCATCCTCAGATCTCAGCTTCCTGATTAGCTAGGTCTGCACTGCACTCAGCTTGGATATGTTCCTTTTAACTTAAGAAAGAGAAGGCAGTATTGGAATCTGAATCTCTCATCAAATGGTGTTGTAGACATCATCCATCCAATTGTAATTTTCCAAATGACAACAGGGGATGTTACTTCAGGATAATTGAATTTCAAAGTAGCCTGAAAAGGGCAGGCCTGATGTCTCCTATTTCAAATGAACTCTGATAGCAGAAGTTAAGCTTTAAAAACCAGTCTGACATGTTCTGTGGTTACCTGGTTGTACTCTGCTGAGACTGCCTTTGAGCAACCTTGACCTTGCAACAGAATAACCCAAAAGGAGACATACAAGACATACAAGTTAGCTGGCCCCTTTAAAAGTAACAGCACAAATTAGAATTTAAGGGACATTATGTGAGTGAAGCCATTAAACATATCATGAGGCTAATAAATTCATGTCAGGATATGAATGTACTTAGCAATAACCAACCATGAACTCTCCTTGGAAAGATAGCAGCAGTTAGTCTCCTAGGGGAAGGGAGAAAGCCAGGAAAAGAAGTTAAACTGTGTTACTAGGGAACCTTGATTGCAGGATATATTTGTTTATTACCCATTATTTGGGCTAGTCTGGAACTGCAGAGCTCAAGCCATCCTCTTGAGTTGCTGGGAATATAGGTACATGTTGTGGAGCATGGGCTTCATATAGATGATAAGGTTTTTGTTTGTTTTGTTTTGGTGCCCTTCTTGGAGCTTGAACTTAGGACCTGGGCTCTATCCCTGAGTATTTTTGCTGAAGGCTAGCACTCTACCACTTGAACCATAGTTTTACTTTTTTGGTAGCTAATTGGAGATAAGAGTCTCATAGACTTTCCTGCCTAGGCTGGCTTTGAACCTCAATCCTCCTATCTCAGCCTCTGGAGTAGTTAGGATTACAGGCATGATCCACTGGTATTCAAATAAAGATGATTTTTTCCCCTGGTGGTGCTGGGGCTTGAACTTATGACCTTATGCTTGTGCTACCAGCCCCATAAAATGATTGTTATCCATGAATTCTTTGTGTGTGTGTGTGTGTGTGTGTGTGTGTGTGTGTGTGTGTGTGTGTGTTGTGTGCTTGTACTGGGGCTTGAACTCAGGGCCTTGTAGTCTTGCTTTTTTGCTAAGGCTGGTACTCTCCCCCTTGAACCACAGCCTCACTTCTGGTTTTTTGTTGGTTAATTGCTAATGAGAGTCTAACAGAATTTTCTGCCCAGTCTTGCTTCAAACCACCATTTGCAGATCTGAGGCTCCTGAGTAGCTAGGATTCTGCATGCATTCTTGTTATTTGTTGTAGTTACATTCCATAAATTGGCCTCAAACACTCAATTGGGATTATAGACTATTGGTCCGAGGGAAATACAAGGTTAGGTTCTGCAAGCCTTCCAGGTAGCAGTACTTATGTACTTATGTGCCTAGTCAGTATATAAGCTCCTGTGTGTCTTCTTTAAACAAACTTAGACTGCTGATTAACATTGGAAGAATAGCTCATAGCATTGTAACTGGTGCTTAAATGGAACCTATCTAACTTGCATTTCCTGTGGTGGGTGCATGGTAGCATTCTTAGGCATGGCAAAATTAGTCAGTGTGTCAGCATTTTGCTTGGCTGCCATTCTAGACATGGAAAGAGTCAAGGAAAAGTACCAAGCTGCAAAACATGACAGGAAGTACCTGTCACTGAGTGACTGTGAAAAGGTCACTGATTAGTTAGAGAATGAAAGAGGAAAGCAGAAGTGTCATCAGTAGGACACATGGCAGAAGTCAGCACCACGCTCATGACCACCCGGCACAGTTTCCAGATCCAGAGTTACACAGTGGAAAATATATCTAATTTTGCAGTAACTGAACAATCTACATCCATGTGCAATTCTACACATTGGAACCTCATGACAGAATTGAAATGTCTCATATAAAACTAAACTTCTCCAGGCACTGGTGGCTCATGCCTGTAATCATAACTACTCAGGAGGCTGAGGGTCTAAGGATCTCAGTTGAAAGCCAGCCTGGGCAGACAAATCTGAGACTCATATCTCCAATTAACCAGCAAAAAGTCAGATGGTATGATTCAAGGGGTAGCATGCCAGACTTGAACTAAAAAGCCAAGCAAGAGTATGAGGCCATAAGTTCCAGCCCTAGTACTGGTGAAATAAACAAGTGAGCAAGCAAGCAAGTACATAACTTCCTGATAGGATAAAAAAAAAAGCACACAAATACAAAGCAAACAAGCTGTCAGTCAAAAAGAGGACAGTCTGTATAGCAAGAGGTAGTGAACCTCCAGGGCACCAGCACCAGTCAATGAAGCGTTACAGTGTTAAATCCAATTATTTCACTTTGGGCCCTGTGAGAAACAGATACCAAAGTTGGCTTGGACATGCTCTACATTTATTGGGGGGAGTGCATGGAAGGGTACAGGGGCAGGGAATAGGAATTGTACCTGAGAAATGTGAGGAAAGCAAGATTGGGTAGGGGAGAGCCTCATATCTGAGCACAATTCTGACACTATCTCAGTCAGACAGATGGGAAGTCTCTGAGCCAAAGTAGTCTGATAGAGAGCATCCTACATGGAGTAGGAATGACCAGCCCAGCTGTGCTCCCTTGCAGTTCAGGTGGGCCTCAGTCTCATGATCCTTCTGCCTCAATCTCCCAAGTGCTGAGGTGTCCACACACAGACCAGGTTTTATGCTTTCATTGTTGTTGTTTTGAATGTCCACTTAGATACATATTTCCAGATGATAAGAAGGCCTTGAGAGGCTCAGACCAGGCTAAGTTCCCTTAGTCATGTTCTCACTTCACAGGGTATTTTCTTCATGTGGTTTATTATCACACATAGCAATTTTATACTCATTTATGTGTTTTATTAATACCTGATTTTCCTTCTAAAATGCCACCTGATCCAGGTGAAGTGGCTCATTCTTGTAATTTCAGCTACTTAAGAGGTAGAGATAGGAAATGGTGGATTGAGGCTAGCCTGGGCAAAAGCGCAAGACTCTGTTTGAAAAATAAAGTAAAAAAGCAAAAGCTTTAGAGGTATGGTCTAAGTGGTAGAGTGCTTGCATAGTAAGCATGAACACCTAAGTTCCATAGCCTGTGCCATGAAAGAAAGAGAAAGAAAGAAGGAAAGAAAAAAAGAAAAAAGAAATACCTGCCATAGAATCTAGGTTAAAATCAACTCTCACTGAATAAATTACATGTATTTCTCCAATGAGAAAAAATAAATGTAAAGTTCAAAGAGAAGGAAATTAACTTCTTTTCACTTATTACTTACAATAGACACCCCCCATAAACAGCTAAAGCACTTTAACTATATGTGACATCAGAATTGTTCCATCAGATGAAGATTGGAAGTCTATTTGTTCTGTCCTTACATTTCAGTAATCATCAATTCTAAGTCTTCATTTTTTAAAATTACTTTTAGCTGGGCAACCATGGCTTACACTTGCAATCCCAGCTACTCAGGAGGCTGAGATCTGAGAATTGTGAATTGAAGCCATCGTGGGCAGGAAAGTCCATGAGACTCTTATCTCCAATACATGACTAAAAAGCCAGGAGTAGAGCAGTATCTCAAGTGGTAGAGCATCAGCCTTGAGTAAAATAAGCGCAGGATAGTACTCAGGCCCTGAGTTCAAACCCCAGAACTGGTACCAAAAAAATTAGATCTAGGGCTGGGAAGGTAGCGCAGTGGTAGAGCGCTTGCCTTGCATGCCTGAGGCCCTGGGTTCGATTCCTCAGCACCACATAAGCAAAAAGAAAAAAGCCAGAAGTGGCACTGTGGCTCAAGTGGTAGAGCGCTAGCCTTGAGCTGAAGAGCTGAGGGACAGTGCCCAGGCCCAGAGTTCAGGCCCCACGACCGGACCCAAAAAAAAAAAATTAGATCTATCTATCTGTGTATCTATCTATGTATCTATCTATGCATCTATCTATGCATCTATGTATCTATGTATGTATGTATCTATTTATCTATGCCTTTAAGTAGTTGTACAGAGAGGCTTCAATTCAACAAATCTCTGAGGGCTCTGATAAAGATTGAGCAAGCTCAAGAGGTGGGCTAAACTATTCTGTAGACACAGAAGTTGATAGTTATGGCTGATCCATACTTCTAGCCCCAAACCTCACAACTCTTCTTGGAGCCGTCCAGGTCTCAGATCTGTGGTTTAGAACTCCTGGCCTAGCATTGCCTATATTCAATTAAGTCTTTTTCTTGAGAAAGGGATGTTCTCTTTGCCAATATGACCTCATTCAGAAGTAATCTCTCCACATTCCTCCCTTGGGCAAATGGTAGCTGGAGAAAGGTGACAAGATTTCTCCAAGGCCACCTGATGAATCAGTTGCATGACAGGAACAAAGCCTGGCTTTATTGATGACTGAGACCCAGAGGCTCCTATTTAACAGGATGACTAATTCAATAGTCATTTATTTGCTCTGGGACATGCTCCACAAACACCAGACCAGTTTCAATGCACCTTCTCTGTCAGATTGTAGCAAGCAGCCTACCAGAAGTACAAGTGAAGAACGCCGAGGGAGGTGGAGTTCTTTACATGGTAGATGCTTCCCCATACCTCTACATGGTGTGCAGAGGAGACACAAATGCAGGAAGTTGGAAGTCAATACAAAACACCTTTCTGCTAGAGTGATTTTTTTTTGTTTTGTTTTCTTTTGTGCTGGTACCAGGGCTTAAACTCAAGGCCTTGCACTCTTGAGTTTTTCACTCAAGTGGTGGGTCCTCTACTACTTGAGCAATACCTCCACTTTCAGCTTCTTGCTAGGTAATTGGAAATAAAAGTCTCTCAGATTTGACTCCTGGGGCTGGCTTCTAATCTCCATCCTCAGTCAGCCTCCTAAGTCACAGGGAATATAGGCATGAGGCCTCAGTGCCCCGCTTAGAGTGAGGGATTTTAAAATCTCCTTTGATGTCTTAACCATTCAATTATGCATTTTTTCTCATTCTATTTTGAAACTTTGCTCATTCCTAAGTACAAAGGCCTTTGCAAGAAGTTTCAAATAAATGCATACAGGAAAGCACTGGGGGTATGGATGGACAAAGACCCTCTGACATGGGTTGCTCTGAGGCTCAGAATTAAGAAGGAAGAAGTTTGGGGTATTGAAGTAGAGAGTCATTGAGAATAGGAGACAGGAAGAAATGGTCCCCACGTTCTCATGGAGGAAGTCAGGAAAGGTGTTTCCCAGAGCATTCTTTTCTCTATTTCTGTTGTGATTGCTATTGTTTGTTTATTTTGCTGATACTAGAGCTTAAACTCCTCACACTTTTCCATGGCTTTTCTTGCTCAAGGCGGTTGCTCTACCACTTGAGTCACAGCTCCACATCTTTTTTTTGCTAGTTCATTGGAGATAAAAATTATATGGACTTTTTTGCCTGGGCTGGCTTCAAACCCAGATCCTCAGATTCTCAGACTCCTCAGTAACTAAGATTACAGGCATGAGCCACTGGTGCCCAGCTGTGTGATTCATTCTAAATTTTTATTTTCAGACACAGATGAGACATGCCCTTCGTTCACCAAGCTGAGTTTCCACAGTGCTGTGGTTGGCACAGGACTAAATGTGAAGTTAATGCTCTACACAAAGAAAAACCTGAGCTGCGCACAAGTCATCAATTCCACAGCTTTTGGGAACTTGAATGTGACCAAGAAAACTACCTTCATTGTCCATGGATTCAGGCCAACAGGCTCTCCTCCAGTCTGGATGGAGGACTTGGTACAGGGTTTGCTCCTTGTAGAAGACATGAACGTGGTTGTTGTTGATTGGAATCGAGGAGCTACAACTGTAATATACACACACGCCTCTAGTAGAACCAGAAAAGTAGCTCTCATCTTGAAGGAATTTATCGACAAGATGTTGGTAAGAAAGAGTTCTATTAGATGATTTGAGATCAAAATGAAACTGGTCAGTTACCTGGAAGTTTAAAACCAAGAGATATATAGTTAATATTTTGTAAATCTGAATAAGACCCAGGAAGGGTCTGGAAGGGATTGCAGGTAAGGCCCATAGGTATGTTGTGCAGGTTGTACACTGCCCAAGACACTGATTTAAGGAAACAACATTGTCCTTGTAGATGTTGTAGCTTTACATATTACTTATGATTGTTTTCCCACAGATGATGACAGTGTCTTGAGAAAGGGAGATCCTTTTGTAATTCAAAAATGGTATTTATTGAGTAGGAGAGCTCTGGGTGGGTTTCCTGGTTTAATGCTTCAAGTTTCTTTCATGTCTATACCTAATCCTTTTACTACCTGTTTAGTGTCCAGATTCCCCAAGACCATAACGAAGGGACATATGGTCCCATGAGATGATTTATGTCTTTAGGAGATAGTAAAGGGGAAACCTTATATTTTATTTAGTGATCTATCACAAAAATTGCCCCTTTTAACAATAACAAAAAAGTGACAAAACCCTGACTATTTCAGAGTCTGGTTTGGTGGCCATGTTGCTGGAGTGGCATGAGTTTTACAGCCCTAGAAAGAGATTCTTGGAATAGCTCAGGACAAACTCATAGTAGCCTATGGACAGTGTGGTCACCCCCCCTTCTTTCTTTCTTCTTTCCTCCCTCTCTATAAACTCCATAAACTGAGCTAGGATGAAGATAAAGGAATTCATTGGGATGTATTGTCAAACTTGTCACCCGTTTGTAAGGCTTTAAAGATAGCTCAGAGTGGTTTATACCAGAAATGTGACGGACATGGACAGAAGCCAGGCACTAGTAGCTCATGTCTGTACTCCTAGCTACTTAGAAGGCTGAGATCTAGAGATTGTGGTTCAAAGCCAACCCATGCAGAAAAGTCTATGAGACCCTTATTTTCAGTCAACTAGCAAAAAAAAAATCACAAGTAGAGCTGTGGCTCAAGTGGTAGAGAATTAGCTTTGAGGAAAAAAAAACAAAAACAAAGGAAAATGACCAGGCTCTGAGTTAAAGCCCCAGAAGAGAGAAGAAAGAAGAAAGGAGGGAAGGAAGAAAGGAAGGGGAAATAAATGTGATGGGGACACCATAAGCACTGTGTGGGGTTGAGTGGGTTGGTTAGATTCCTACTCTGCTCCCTCCTCAACTGTCTGACCTCAACTAGACGACACTAACTCTGGGCCTCAGTTTCTTCATCTTAAAAGCAAAAGAATAGTATTTCCTATTACAGAGGTGTTGTGACATACTGTGATGCAGGTGTGTGTGTGTGTGTGTGTGTGTGTGTGTGTGTGTATTGCTGGGATTGAACCCAGGGCCTTGCACATTGCTAGACAACGATTCCATCACTGAACTCTACCTGCAGCCCTGGTATGACATTTAAATGAGACATAAATGTGCAGTACTTAGGAATATTTCCCCAATGTGAACAGATCAGAGATTTCTCAAATGTAGATACTTTGTAATGATAGACTTCTTGAAATTCCAGGTGGAAGGAGGTTCTCTTGACGACATTTATATGATTGGAGTAAGTCTGGGAGCCCACATATCTGGATTTGTTGGAGAAATGTATGACGGGCAGCTGGGGAGAATTACAGGTGAGGCTCTGGTGGGTGGGCCTGTTTAGGCAGGTGTTGCCTGGGGGAGCATTATAAAAGCAATCCAAGACAGCACTTCCAAATATTGAACCTCCTGCGCATGGGTCCTCTTCTTGTAAAGGAGGATCAAATATTGTTGACCTCAGAATATTATTATTATTAATATTAATTAATTTTTATGCCAGTCCTGGGACTTGAATTCAGGCTAGGCACTGCCCCTGAGCTATTTTGCTCAAGGATAGCACTCTCTCACTTAAGCCAGCTTTTTTGGTGGCTAGTTGGAGATGAGTCTCATGGACTTTCCTGCCTGGGCTGGCTTTAAACCATGATCTCAGCCTCCTATGTAGCTATGATTACAGATATGAGCCATCGGTACCTATTGAACTCAGATATAACGCACGTGACATATTTACAAATTGTATGTGCCATAGAAAAGAATGGTGATGGACCTTATTTCTCTTATGGCTAGAAAAGCAGCAATGTCCCTTGGGGACATTTGATCTGTAGTCCTAGAACAAAGAGTTTGCTTCCTTTCAGTGAACCCAGGATGGCCTGGCTGGTGTAACTAGCACGCTGCAGTCCCCAGACACAGCAGAATCTTGTGGTAGGAAAAGGAGATGGGAATTTTGATGGCTGGGCCTTATTCTCTAGATATCAACTTTCCAGCCAACACAGAATGAAAACACTCAGAAATGCAGCCAGTTAAACCTCAAAGAGACACACTTCCTCCCTGTGATCTCTTGCTTGGAGCTTCGGAACTTTCCATAGATACTTAGAGGGCAGAGGGTGGCTCTCTCAGACAAAAGGGCTTTCTATCACTGTTCCCAGAATCCATTCTCAGGCTCAGGGAGCCTTTCAAATCCAGAGAATATAGAAGGTAGAAATGTATATGAATGGAATATAAGTTATTCAAACAAACCATAATTCGGGTCCTAATCTGAAGGGATTATTTAAATATGCAAAAGTCTCCCTCTGTCTCTCTGTCTCTGACTCTGTCTCTTTCTCTCTCATATACACATATACACACAGAGGATGGTTTCTCCATCTAGTCCTCTAATCTGGGTATATGGAGTCCTACATGATTTTTCTCGTTTTAATTCAAGGCCAGAGTTGCCTCATCTTTTTGTTGTTGTTGGTGGTGGTGGTTGTGAGGCTTGAACTCTCGGCCTGGGTGCTGTCCCTCAGCTCTTCAGCTCAAGGCTAGCACTCTATCACTTGAGCCACAGCGCCACTTCAGGTCTTTTCTGTTTATGTGGTGCTGAGGAATGGAACCCAGGGCCTCACGTATGAGGGGCAAGCACTCTACCACTGAGCTACCTTCTCAGCCCCTGCCTCGTCTTTTTTTTTTTTTTTTTCGTCAGTCATGGGGCTTGAACTCTAGGCTTGAGCACTGTCCCTGCGCTCTTTAGCTCAAGGCGAGCACTCTATCACTTGAGCCACAGTGCCACTTCTGGTTTTCTAGTGGTTTATTGGAGATAAGAGTCTCTTGGACTTTCCTGCCTGGGCTGGCTTTGAACTGAGATCCTCAGATCTCAGCCTCCTGAGTAGCTAGGATTACAGGCGTGAGCCACCAATGCCTCATCTTATTTACCTGCTTTCCTAGGGAAGCAAAAATGCTTTTCAAGTTTCAAAGTGCATTATTTCTATATTCTAGAAAGCACTGAACATTTAAAAATGTCTCTAATCTCAGCACTGAGGAGAGTGAGGCAAGAAGATCAGAAGTCACAAGTTTGAGGCCAGCCTGGGCTCCATGGCAAGACACTGTTTGTTTGCTTGCTTTGCTTTTTAAAGCTTTGTCTTCTGAGGAGAAGGAACTCACTGTTTGTGTTTGCCTCTGTCCTCATCTGTTGGGAGTTCTCTTCTGGTGCTGGGATTTTTTCTAGTGCAGGGCTTAGAAATAGGCCAAAACCCCTCTGTACAGGAGTTAACAATAAAATAAAAAATTTAAAAAAGAAACAGACCAATTCTAAGAGACAGAGATAGAGAGAGATAGAGATAGACAACAGAGTAAGTGGAAGAAGAGGGAGATCATGCTAGATCTCAAGACATGAATCTCATATCTCTGACTAGAGTTTGGGAGAAGATGAGCAAAGTCCTTTTCCTGGCCTACTTACAACCCTACATCTCACAAGAAACCTGTTCTCCAAACTGCTGTGAAAGCGAACTGTGCTTTTTCTGGCCTCTGACCAGGAGCATGCCGAAGCCAACCTTCCTCCTACTCTAGGCCCTGAGAGCACTGAAAGCACTGATGTCCCCCTGACAGCCATATCTTACAAGTGTCCTTGCTGGCAACCCCACTGAACCATCTCCCTTCCTCTTACCCCTGAACAAACACACCCAGTGGTCTTGGAAGAGAGCCTGAGACCAAGGCCATGTCTGAGGCTGACGCCTGATGAACACAGATGCTGTTGAAACCTTGAAACTCCTTAATCAAAATAACACTGCTCACCCACCCAGCCTCCCTCTCACACCATCTTGGCCCCCAGACTTCATGCTAAATAGGCCCTAGTTATAAGGGAGGTGTACCATTTCTCCTTCAGCCAGGCGGAAGGAGACTTGGTTGCTATTCCCAGGTTTTCCTCCTAAATAAAATCTGTTGGTCTGTTGTATTCTCCCTTTCTGCTCTTTTTATTTTCTTACACAAGTAACTTGTTCCATGGCCTGGATTCAGCTGCTGAACCTCAGCTCAATGTTCTACCTCTGTGTGTTCCCTGAGTCCCACGGTTAATCACAGCTCTAAGAGCAATCTAAGAGCTGTTATTGATCAAGAGCGGCTTCAGGAGACAAGCATTTCCCCTCTCTTCACCTCTCCGACGGGGTAGGCCCACTGGACATGATGAATTGGGGATGTAGCCTGCTCTCCATTGCCACAACTCCCACATTTAAGTAGGTGTACTCGGTATTATCTAAGCCTCAAATGGCTGCTTCATCTCTTCCATTTCCCCTCCTTCTAATTGTCCTGGTTCTATTTGTCATTTAATTAAGTACTTAATTGTGGTGCTGAGGCTCTAATCCAGGACCTCATTCATGCTAAGCAAGTACTCTACCACTGAGCTATAATCCCAGCCCAGGAATCTCTACATCTTTTTTTTTTTTTTAATGGTATTGGGTTTGAACTCAGGGCTTCCTATTGTTCAACCATCTGACTCCCAAGCCTTAGTCCTTTTGTTGTTGTTGGTGGTGGTTGTGGGACTTGAACTTAGGACCTAGGCACTGTTCTTGAGCCTTTTCACTCAAGGTTAGTGCTCTACAACTTTGAGCTACCAACACTTCTGGTTTTCTGGTGATTAATTGGAGATAAGAGTCTTGAGGACTTTCCTGCCTGTGCTGGCTTCGAACCATAATCCTCAGATCTCAGCCTCCTAAGTAGCTAGGATTACAGGCATGAGCCACCAGTGCCTGGATTCATATTTTCTTTTTAATTTTCTCTTTCTTTCTTTTTTTCCTTCCTCCCTTTCCTTTCCTTCCTTCCTTCCTTTCTTTCTTCCTTTTTTCTTTCTCTCCCTTTCTTCCTTTCTTCCTTCCTTCCTTCCTTCCTTTCTTTCTTTCTCTGGGTAATGTCCATGAACTTTCTTGCTAAAGGCTAGCACTTTACCACTTGAGTTATAGCTCCACTTGCAGCTTTTTGGTGATTAACTGGACATTAGAGAATTCCTAGAGTCTCATGGACTTTTTTTTCCTGAGCTGGCTTTGAACTGCAATCCTCAGGTCTCAGTCTCCTGAGTAGCTAGGATTATAGGCATGAGCCACTGACACACAGCTTTCATTGTTTATTTTCTTAGACAGGAAATGCTGTGAGGATGAGGAGGCTTGTGAGGTGTGGAGTTGTCCCTGTTGTGTTGAGGAAATCCTGTGCTAGACACTTGAGTGCCAGGGTATTGGGCCCATCTCCTCCCACACAAGTTTCAATTGGGAGTGGACAGAAGACAGGCTGGGGATGTTGGGTGGAGGTGAGCAAAGAAAAGAGAAAAAACCTGCCTGTGGGAAGCAGATGAGCACAGGGAGAGGAGGAATGGGGAGACTGAAGCTCAAAGCAGCAACCTTGAGGGAAACATGCTTTCTCTTCTGTTTTACATGTAACTTTATTGACAGAAGATGACATTTATTATTTGTCATATGACCCTCCAGTGGTGCAAAGTGGTGGAGACATGTTTTGCATAAATGCCTAACTCCTATCCAGAGTTTCGTACGAAAGCCAAACAATGCTCATACAGAGATTCTACTAGAGCCAGATGCTGGTGGCTCACACCTGTAGACTTAGCTACTCAAGAGGCTGAGATCTGAGGATCAAGGCTCGGAGCCAGTGTGAGCAGAAAAGTCTGTGAGATACTTATCTCCAGTTCACCAGCAAAGAGCTAAGAAGAGGCTGTGTGGCTCAAGCGATAAAGCATCAGCCTTGAGTAAAATAGCCAAGTGAGAACATGAAGCCTTGAGTTCAAGTCCCACTATACACACACACAAGCAAACAAAAACAAAACTGTTCTACTGGGCAGTTCCAAAAAATAAACTTATATTCATGGATAAAAACTCAAAGGAGAGGACATTCTCTCACGATGGCTTTACCCATCATAGGCGCCTGGTAAGTGAAGCCTTTCTAGCCTCTGCCTTTTTTTTTTTTTTAACATTCTTGTTATTTTATTTTATTTTTGTCAGTCATGAGGTTTGAACTCTGGGCCTGGGCACAGTCCCTCAGCTCTTCATCTCAAGGCGCTCTACCACTTGAGCTACAGTGCCACTTCCGGTTTTCTGGTGATTTACTGGAGATAAGAGTCTCACAGACTTTCCTGCATGGGCTGGCTTTGAACTGTGATCCTCAGATCTTAGCCTTCTGAGTAGCTAGGATTACAGGTAGGAGGATATGAGCCACCTGCGCCCAGCCCTGTTTGTTTGTTTTTTAATTGTTATTATAAAGGTGATATACAGAGCTCTGACTTTTTCCTTAAAGTTCTTTGTGACTACAGCATCATAAGAACTCCTCTTTTCCAATGGCTTTGTAGCAATGGTGAGTGATGTTCAATTAACATTGACCAAGGACAAGGAATTAGCTCAGGCATTGTGGGATGGGTTCAATCACCTATATCTGCAGGGAGTCACATCCTTTTCCACACCGGGCTACGTTCGTGGCCTGATCAACAAGTTTACCCCTTTTCTGCTGAGCTGACTCAACTCAGTTCCATGATAGCAAGAGCTCCAGTGATACCATTTGAGGCTAGGCTATGACTGAGAGGCTTGAGCTCCCTGAACCTCAGTTCAACCATCTGTAAAATGGGAATCCTAACAGCTACTCTGCCTCTGTCTGCAATGTGGGTCAAATGACCTAACCTATGAATGAAGCAGAAGCCATAAAAGAGTGATTCATAACCAGAAGAGGAGGGGGCTGAGTGGCGTTTCTAGATCATCTAAAATGGGTAAAGGGGAATCTAGCATCTGCCCTGCTTTTTGCCCAATGAGCTCTCCTGGAGTCTGCATGCTGTTCTCAGGAGCACTGCCAGGGCTGCACTGTGGGAAAGAGCCACAGGGCTGTGGACAGGAACCCTAAAAAAGCAGGATAGGAATGTGGGTGCTTGCTCACCGGAGGGTGCCCTGCAGCCTGTAAGCGACTCACCTGGAGGGATCAAAGGCCTGTGCGGTGACTCATGGCGTGGGGCTGCCAAGCCACTCTGTTTTCCTTCCAGGTCTGGACCCTGCAGGCCCTTTATTCAATGGGAGACCTCCTCAGGACAGATTAGACCCCAGCGATGCGAAGTTCGTGGACGTCATCCACTCTGACATTGATGGTAACATTCCTGTCCTTGTGGGTCAGTGGTGCTGCTCCCAGAGTCTCCCCTGGGGAATCATCAGCAGAGCAGAGCAAGTTCCTCCACATGCCCTCTTCTCCATCAGGGAAGGGTTCCAAATCTGCAGCAATGGGGAAGGGAAGGTGAGGTAGTACAGGGCCTGCCAGCATCTCAGACAGGAGTGGGGATGACTTTCCATCATCTCTTACTTTTAAGTGATCATAAACCAGGCACTGGTGGCTCACCCCGTAATCCTAACTACTTAGGAGGCTGAGATCTGAAGCCAGCCTGGGCTGGAATGTACAGTCTCTCCAATTAATTACCCTTCAAAAGAACCAGAAGTGGAGCCATGGATTGAAGCGGTAAAGTGAGCAAAAAAGCTCAGTGACATCACCCAGGCCCTGAGTTCAAGCCCCAGGATTGGCACTGAATAAATAAACAAATAAAGTAATCATAGTGCTGAATTAAGGGCAGGATTTCTCACTCTGAATAAATGTTTCCTTAAGGGAAACTGGGTTAGAAGTATGTGATTTCCTAGTGTCTTGGTTCTTGTTAGTTCCTTAAGCTGAAAGGTAAGTTCAAGTACTGTGTTTCTCCACCAGTGACCCTGTTTCTCTGAGGATCTTCCAAGGCCATTTCTACCTCTTAGGACACTGACTCGTATCTGGGTTTGGATACAAGAATCCACTATACCCAAAGGTTCTGGGAGAAGAGCTGGAGAAAAAACTGGGGAAGGAGGGAGGAAGTGCCACAGAGAGGTTCACTTAATCGTGTGTTCTTTTTATGACATGACCACCTGAAAAATATGTGTGTGTGTGTGTGTTAGGGCTTGAACTCAGGGCTTCATGCTTTCACTTAGCTTTTTTTGCTCAAGGATTGCACTATACCAGTTGAACCACAGCTTCACTGTCAATTTTTTTTTCTGAATAACTGGAAAGAATCTCTCCAATTTATCTGCTCAAATGAAGATCCTCAGATCTCAGCCTCCTGAGTAGCTAGAATTATAAGCAATAAAATTATAAGGCACTGACCTGGTGCCTGGACTTAAAGTACCCTTGACCCAGAGCTGGGAATATAGCTCAGGATGCTCCAGCACCACCAGAAACAAAACAAAACCAAAGAAATTCAAAACCTGACCATCTGTTTGGGCACTCTGGTGTGGCCCTTGAGAAGAAAGGCCTCTTTTTGAAACAGCTGCATGGTACCATGGGCTTGCAAAAGTATAATACCTCAGTGCTATTTTTATGCTTGAAGGAATAAAGCAATTTACTTTTTATTCTTGGAAAATGAATTTTGAAAGGAAGAGTACAAAGGTAGTCAAATGTGAACTTGGATTTTAGGTTCTACTCTTTTTTTTCTTTTCTTTTTTTTTGGGTACAGTCCTAGGGCTTGATCCCAGGGCCTATGCAGTGTCCCTGAGCTTTTTTGCTCCAGGCTAGTGTTCCACTTGAGTCATAGATCCACTTTTGGCTTTTGGATGGGTAGTTAATTGGAGATGAGTCTCACAGACTTACCTGCCCTGGCTGGCTTTGAACAGCAAATCTCAGATTTTAGCTTACTCCTGAGTAGCTAGGATGAATGGTGTGAGCCACTAGCGCCCAGCCTAAATATAGATGTGTGTTTTTTTTAAGTTTTAGCAGGATTTATTTTAATATAACAGGATTGAGTGAGGAAGAATTGGAAAAAAGAGAAAAATATTTCCCATTCCTCATGCAAGTAATAGTAGTTAAAGGCTCCTACATATAATTTTGAGACCCTCATTTTCTACAAGTGTTTCCATTCTTTTTTTTTTTTTTTGTCGGTCATGAGCCTGAACGCTGGGCCTGGGCACTGTCTCTCAACTCTTTAGCTCAAGGTGCTCTACCATGTGAGCCACAGCACCACTTCCGGCTTTTTCTGCTTATGTGGTGCTGAGGAATGGAACCCAGGACCTCATGCATGCAAGGCAAGCACTCTACCACTGAGCCATCTTCCCAGCCCTTGTTTAGATTCTTTGCTCAAGGCTAGCTCTCTACCACTTGAGCCACATCTCCATTTCCTCATGCCTACTATGAAGGTGAAAAGTTCCAAGCAGTACAAAAGTACAGTGTTTCTCTTCTAGCCCTGGGCTATAAGGAGCCATTAGGAAACATAGATTTCTACCCAAATGGAGGATTGGATCAACCTGGCTGTCCCAAAACGATATTTGGAGGTAAGTGCAGAATACTTTATATTTTGTAAAATAGTGTTTTGACAAGGGCATATTTAAAAATCTGACATTCTACAAGGGATAGCTTTGTGTGTGTGTTTGTGTGTATGTGTGTGTGTGTGCATGTGCACACGTGCTTGTTTGTTTTGCCAGCTCTAGGCAAAATTCTGGGCCTGGGCACTGTCTCCGAGCTCCATTTGCTCAAGCCCAGTATTTTACCACTTGGGCCACAGCACCACTTCTGGCTTTTTCTGTGATTAATTGGAGATAAGAGTCTCACAGGCTTTCCTGTCCAGGCTAGCTTTGAACTGCAATCCTCAGATCTCAGCCTCCTGAGTAGCTAGGATTACAGGTGTGAGCCACCAATGCCTGGCCAATGAGGTAGTTTTTAATAGCAAGTAAATTTCCTGAAAAGGAAAAGATGACATAATTATCAAAATAAACTACAAACTCAAATTTATAAAACACAAACCAGGAAGTGGAGGGCAACATAAAAGTGAGGTAAGTCAGGGGTTGTGACTCAAGCCTCTAATCTTAACTACAGGGGACGCAAAGACTAGAGGACAGAGGTTTGAGGTAAGCCCAGGCATACTTATGAGACTCCATCTCAACTAATGGCTGGGCGTTTTGGCGTGCACATGCTATACCAGGGTGTTTATAATTCCCAGTGACACAGGGAAGCTTAAGTAGGAAGATCAAAGCTCAGGCTGACTTGGCCATGAAGTGAGATTCTACCTAGAAAGTAAATGGTGCAAAAAGAGGTTGGAGGCTTGGCTCAAATAGTAGAGCACCAGCCTAGACACCTGAGTTTAACACACACACACACACACACACACACACACACACACACACACACACACACAAATGAGGTGGAAGACAGAATATAGAATTCTAACCCTAGATTTATAGTTCATCACTGCTAGAGAGAGGTAACCAGTAATGCAAATAAAAGCAACAAAAAGAGAGATAATTTTGGTACAAAATGGCGGCTGTTTGAAAAGGATCCCACTGAAGTGGCATAAACAGTCCTGGGGCTTGCACTTACTGTTCCTGAGCTTTTTTTTTGGGGGGGAAGGGTCTGGTTGTGGGGCCTGAACTCTGGGCCTGGGCACTGTCCTTCAGCTCTTCAGCTCAAGGCTAGCGCTCTACCACTTGAGCCACAGCGCCACTTCCGGCTTTTTTCTTTTTTCTTATGTGGTGCTAAGGAATCGAACTCAGGGCCTCATGCATGCAAGGCAAGCGCTCTACCACTGAGCCACCTTCCCAGCCCCCCATATTGTTTCATAGTGAGTGTTCAAACCCAGCCTGTGTGTCAGGATGGGGCTGGCACTGAGGCTTGAACTCAGGGCCTGGGCACAGTTCCTGAGCTGCTTTTGTTCAAGGCTTGTGCTCTACCACTTGAGCAACAGCACCACTTCCAGCTTTTATGGTAGTTTACTGGAGATAAGGACTTTTGTGCCCAAGCTGTATTTGAACTGTGATTCTCAGATCCCCGACTCCTGAACAGGTAAGATTGCAGTGTGAGCCACTGCCACCCATCTATCTTTTTTAAAAAAAGTGACAGTGGCATCTCTTTATGTCCAACTCTTCTGCCACCATCATCCTGCCTCCTCAGTCTCCTGTTTCATGTGACACCCTAGGACCTCACACATACTAAGCATGCACTGTACCAGTGAGCTGCACCCTCTCTCCCTCCTCAGAGAATTAGTATTATTTTAGTTTTTGTGCCAGTACAGGAGCTTAAACTCTGGTCCTGGATGTTGTCCCTTAGATTTTCCTCTCAAGGGTGCCACTCTATCACCTCAGCCACAGCTCCACTTCTAGCTTGTTGGTGGTTAATTGGTGGTAATAGTTTTTCTGATTGGTCTGTCCAGGCTGGTTTTGACCCATGATCTTGGGGTCTCAGACTCCTAAATAGTTAGGATTAAAGGCATGAACCACTGGTGCCCAGCATCCCTGGAGAAATTTTGAGTCCCTCCCGTCCTTCTATAGGGGTTGATTCTAGTTCCTTGGTCCTCAATATGGTGGATGATCATTGCAGACTCACCACGCAGACTGTGTTCACATAATACATCTGCTGACGGGCTTCTGACGAAGCACTCGTTGATCTCATCCCATAGTCCAATCCATGGCAACAAGAAGAGACGGCTTCTTAGTAAACCTCAGAGTTAGTCCTTAATTGAAACTCTAAACCTGGGCACCTGTGGCTCACACCTCCTCCCAGCTACTCAGGAAGCTGAGATCTGACCATTAGAGTTCTAAGCCAGAAGAGGCAGCAAAGTCCATGAGACCTTTATCTCCAATTAACCACCAAAAAGCTGGAAGTGGAATGTGCCTCAAGTGGTAGAACACCAGCCTTGATCAAAGTGCTCAGGCCCTTAGCTCAAGCCCCAGTAGCAATGCGTGTACACACACACACACACACACACACACACACACACACACATCTAATTAGAATGCTGTCTCCTATCCTGTTCTCATAGTACCATCATCTTCTACTCTGTAGCAAAGCTGTGGTTCTCAAACTGTAACACTATAAGAATCATGTGCAAAGCTTTTAAAACAGATTTTTGGAGACCTTACTGCCATAATTAAATTAGAATTGGCCTTTCTAACACGTTCATAGGAGAGGTTAATGCTGCTGGTTGCGTATTGTGAGAATCTTAGTGGCAGTAAGCATGGGTGTTAAAGTTACAAAGAGCTGGCTTTAAAATTCCTGCCTTTCTACTTATTAGCACAATGCCTCAGTTTCCCATCTATAAAGGGGAATAATACCACTGAACTTAAGAGATTGCGAGGGTTAGCAACATGTTGTATAAGGCACCTGGTGCCTGGTATGATGTTATATACAATATCATTTCTGATTTGTCTATAACCTTTATAAATTTCTGGGTTTTGTTTTTTTGTTTACGTGAGGCAGAGTCTTGCTAAATTGGACAGGCTGGCCTTGAATTTTAATCTTCCTGCCTCAGTCTCCCAAGTAGCTGATTACAGATGTGCAACAGTACAGCTGACTTTTCTTTTCTTTTTTTTTTTTTTTTGCTGGTCATAGAGCCTGAACTCTGGGCCTGGGCACTGTCCTGAGCTCTTCAGCTCAAGGCTAGCACTCTACCACTTGAGCCATAGCACCCACTTCCAGCTTTTTCTGTGTATGTGGTGCTGAGGAATCGAACCCAGGGCCTCATGCATGCAAGGCAAGCACTCTACCCCTGAGCCACCTTCCCAGCCCCAGCTGACTTTTCTAAAATGTTAACATTAACCAGGAAGGTACAGTTAACATTTTCTTTTCTTTCCTTTCTTTTTGTGGATGAATGGTGCTGGACATCGAATCCAGAACCTCACAACTATTAGGCAAGTACTCTATCACTGTGCTACACCCCATTCCCAAATTTACAATCACGGAAGACACATGCATCATCACCATTATTTCACACAATAAAGGATATGAGTTGTTGTTGTTTTGTGGGGGGGTGTTAAAACATTGCCATTGACAGCTCCAGTCTCAGAAAGGATGTTGGAGCATCACTGAGCAGTTGTATTTTCAGTGACTTCCAACATCTAGTAATGATCTCCCCTCTGTTGAGTGCTGACATTCTGACTTGAGTATAAGTGAAAAATTTGGCAGTGATAAGAGAAACTGTCTTTCTCTTGACTTTTTGCAGTCACTGGGATTATTAGTTCTGAATAGTGACAGACTGAACAAACTCACAATGAGACTTTTAGTGAGGGCCCTGTGCAAAAAGAAGCAGGACACAAGGGAACACTCTAAAAGTTGTGATTATTCATCCACCTGCCAATCCTCTCCTCCTCCTCCTCCTCCTCCTCCTCCTCCTCCTCCTTCTCTTTTTGGTTCTAGAGATTGAACCAAGGGCCTTACAAGTTCTCTCCCACTTGTATCCCACTAAATCCTTATTGCTACTTGTTCCTCCTGACACCGTGTTAGGATTCAGAACTTCAGCAGTGAACAGAACAGGATACACTCTTATTCAGGGAGAGTAGAAATGCAGATACTCTATTTAAGATAGTACTTGATTAGGCCTACTGGTGATGTTTCATAGTGAAGGATCTTTAAAAAAAAATTAATGTCTGTGCCTGTCCTAGATCTTGAACTCAGGGCCTAGGACACTGAGCTTTATTTGCTCTACCACTTGAGCCACAGTTCCATTTCTGGTTTTTTAGTGGTTAATTGGAGATGAGTCTCACACACGTTCCTGCACAGGCTGGTTTTGAACTTTAATCCTCAGATCTCAGCCTCCTGAATTGCTAAGATTACAGGCATGAGTTTCTAGTGCCTGGCTTGAAAGATTCTTTTTTAAAAATAAGCTGAAAAGTGGCCATAGTGACATATGCCTATGATCCCAGCACTCGAGAAGTTGGAGGCAGTGGACGGTGAGTTTGAGGCCAGACATTTGGCCACCTACCATTGCAGGGGTGTCTAGTCTGTGAAGTGGCCTTGCAAAGTGAGTCGGGCATGGAGACTTTTGAATGGTTGGGGATTGCACAAGACACAGTGTTTGTTGAAATCCTGATTTCAGAGCCCACTTGGAGCTAGAAATGCTTGACAGTGGCTCTGAACTCAGTTTATCAAACATGATTATGATGCAGTGAATCTGTGGCGCAAACTTTAGATGTCAGTGAAAGACACCTCCACTGCTAAATAAGCAAATTGAGGTATTTTTTTCTTTCATTTTTTGTTTTTGTTTTTCTTTCTGGGGTGTTGGGAAAGAAATCCAGGGCCTTGTGCATACTAAGCAAGTGCTCAGCCATTAAGCTACACCTCTAGTCTGGTGGTCTTTAAAATATATTTGGTTTTGGGGCTGGGAAGGTGGCTCAGTGGTAGAGTGGTCGCCTGGCATGCATGAGGCCCTGGGTTCAATTCTCAGCACCACAGAAGCAGAAAAAGCTGGAAGTGGCGCTGTGGCTCAAGTGGTAGAGCGCTAGCCTTGAGCTGAAGAGCTGAGGGACAGTGCCCAGGCCCAGAGTTCAGGCCCCATGAGTTCCCCCCAAAATATATATATTTAGTTTTATTTCTATTATGCCCTTAAATATGAAAGAAAGAAAGGAGGGAGAGAGACAAGGGAGAGAGGAAAGAAAGGAAGGAGGGAAGAAGGAAAGAAAGAAGAGAGACCCCACAGATAAGGATTCAAACTGTTAAGTGGCAAGGGAAGGATTAAATCATATTTAAGGGCATCTAGCTGTGTGGGTTTCACAAGGATGAAATGGAATCAAGTACACAGTGCCTGATATGCAGCAGACAGGATACATTGTGTGTGTGTGTGTGTGAGAGAGAGAGAGAGAGAGAGAGCGTTACTATTTAAATGCTCTACTTGCTCTACTATTACCATTCCCTTTACAACCAAGGCGTTCAGTATTTCAAGTGTGACCACCAGAGGTCCGTGTACCTGTACCTTGCCTCACTGAAAAAGAGCTGTGCCATCACCGCCTACCCTTGTGACTCCTACAGGAATTACAGGAACGGCAAGTGCGTCAGCTGTGGCACACCACAAAAGGTGTCCTGTCCCCTGCTGGGTAAGTCCAATACGTGGTTTATCCCTTTGAGGAACAAAGAACCTTTGACCATCTGAAAGTAGACCCAAACATCGTATTTGTCTGTATAAACTTGGCTTTATTTTATTAAGAAAATTGTTTTTGTGAGACAGGGTCTTGTTACATCATAGCCCTGGTATCAGAACCAGACCTGGTGGCACACACCTGCCATTCCAGCACTCAAAGTACAAATGAGTTGCCATTCAACAAAGCCGTTGATGAAAACCACACATCTTGACCAATGTCATTCTTCTCAGCATTCTCACTCATCCCTCCCAACCATCCCTTCCCTCACTTTTCCTAATTTTGTAGGATATACATTAAGTTTTTTGTTTTTTACTGAATTCTCCCCTCCGCCTTCTTTTCATTTGTCTACTTTCCTCCCCTTAACCTCACTCTACCCAGTTTATTTTGTTGAACTTTGGTTTAGCCTTTCTAAGGAATTATGGCTGTTTGCGTTCTTCCCTGAATCTACTGTAATTGTTGATACATTTTTGTACACTTGTATTTTTTTTTCCTGGTCCTGGGCCTTGAACTCAGGGCCTGGGCTCTGTCCCTGAGCCTCTCTGTGCTCAAGGCTAGTGCTCTACCACTTGAGCCACAGTGCCACTTCTGGCCTTTTCTGTTTGTGTGGGACTGAGGAATCGAACCCAGGGCTTCATGCACGACAGGCAAGCACTCCACCACTAAGCCACATTCCCAGCCCTTGCATAACTTAAATGTTATTCTCTTCTTTTTTCTTTGGAATTTCCACTAAAAACTCTTATTCTTTTTTTTTCAGTTTTTTTTATTGTGATTAAGTGGTTACATGATTTCCCAAATTACACAGTATTGTGGGATAGTGAAGCTTAGTTCAAGTCACAAACACATTCTAACTTTCATAGGACAAATTGTGTATCATGGTCTATAACACTTACATGTTATTCTCTTCTAATTTGCCTTATAGGCTATTATGCTGATGACTGGAAAGACTACTTGAGGGAGAAAGATCCTCCGATGACTATGGCCTTCTTTGACACCGCTGAGAAGGAGCCGTTCTGCAGTGAGTTGTGCATGTTGGTGGTTCTTTCTGCCCAACATTTTCATTTTAAGAATGTATGCATCTCAGAAGGCCACGATAAAGCTTGACGTTTGGAACTAGAGGGGCCTACAGCAAATCCTGTCACATAATAATTGTGTGACCTCAAGTCATTTGAGTCTGAAAGTCCTGATTGGTAAAATGGAAATAATAATGACTCTCTTTCAAGGTATTAGGATAAAAATATCAATCAACCAGGGTTTAATATCTCTGGATAGCCATTATAATCACTTACATCTTTCAGAAAATTGCTTCCTTCCTCAAGAGACATGAAATTGGGCCTGGGAAAATTCAGGGGTCATCTATGGGTCAGTTCTAGCTGTCCAAGAACCATGATGACATAAAGATACCAAGAGGTTGAGAAATCCAGATGGGAGCTAATGAGGGGATTGGTTAAATGCTCCGGGATACTATTAGATTTAATCTGGGCAGATGTGTGTCCTTCCTTACTATCTTATATTCCTTTTCATTTTTCTTGGGACCAACCATTTTTCCTTTTTATTATATTATTTTAATTAGTTAATTTAATACTTTCTATTTTATTTCATTTATTTTGATAGCTTTGGGGTTTGAATTCAGGGGCTTGAGCTTGCTCAGTGTGCTCTCTCAGCTTGTTTGCTTGGCTGGTTGTTCCAGCCCAGCAAGAGGGATAACCATCCTTGTTGTAGTATATTTTAGTTTTTGTGTTTTTTTGTGTGTGTTTTTTGTTTATCGGTTAAGGAGCTTGAACTCTGGGCCTGGGCACTGACCCTCAGCTCTTCAGCTCAAGGCTAGCACTCTACCATGTGAGCCACAGATCCACTTCCTGTTTTCTGGTGGTTTCTTGGGGGTAGGAGTCTCATGGACTTTCCTGCCTGGGCTGGCTTTGAACTGAGATTCTCAGATCTCAGCCTACTGAGTAGCTAGGATTACAGGTATGAGCCATTGGCACCCAGATATTTTAGTTTTATCTATAAAAACTTACCAGTTACTATTCAGGTAATACTTAGATACAACCATTGTTTTTGTTTTTCATTTTGTAATAGAGGAAGTCTGGAGCATGACAGAGATTCCAGGAAAGGAGATCTGATGATTAGTCTGAGTGCCAGAAAAGGTCTCCTGAAAAAAATGATATTAAGCTGAAAACTGCATGATGGATTGACAAAGGGGTCCAAGAAAGGTGTCCATCAGGGAAGGCCTGGGTCAGAGACTAGAGGTACAGGAGCTTAACAGGCCTGGAAAAGAGATGAGGAAGGACAGGTAGGCTAGTGGAGATGGCACAAGTTGTGACCATCCTTTTGAGCTGTAGAGTGCCTCCAAGTGGCTACTTGGTTGTGGGAAGGAATTGAAGTGGGCCAATCACAATAGCATTAGACCATGAGGCTCAAGCCAAAAGATGGGAACTTGGGATGTTTGAACACTGATCCCATTAAACACTACTGACACTTTTGCCTTCTTTGTCAAAGAAATGAGAAAGGGTTGGTAGGGGAAAACAAACAAACAAACAAACATTTGCCCTGGAGCTTTTAAGAGAAACTCCAGAAGAAGAGAAAAGGACACTTGAATTATTAGGAAACGCTGCCTTTTGGGAACCAGGCCTCCAGGGGATCAGCTTAAGGATCTCTCTCTCCTATGTATTCTCTCCCTGTTTTGCAGTTTATCATTATTTTGTGGACATTTTATCCTGGAACAAGAACATAAGAAGGGGGTCCATTACAATCAAACTGACAGACCAAGATGGAAACACCACAGAGTCCAAAATCAACCAGTAAGTTGAGTTGTTACCAGCTTGCAGTCCTTGAGTTACCTTTTATATTTGGAAAAATTAAATGTCAGATGTGGCGACTTATTTATGAGATGATACTTTTCCCTGTTTTACAAAATTCACCGTGGAATATACTGCTTGGTTGTTTCCTTTGGCTTTTGATCTCTCAGGCTCTCTACAAATGTAATTGGTGCAATGGCTTTCTTTCCTTTCCTCCCTCCTTCCTCTTTCCCTTCTTCCTTACTATGCTGTTTTTCTTCCTTTCCTTCTTTCTTTCTCAGATTAAACATTTATTTATTGTCAGCTGTTGGACTTAAATTAAGGGCCTGAGCACTGTCCCAGAGCCTCTTTGTGCTCAAAGCTAGTGTTCTATCACTTGAGCCACATCATCACGTCCAATTTTTGAGTGATTAATTGGAGATAAGAGTCTCACGGGGACTTTTCTGCTTGGGCTGGCTTTGAAATGCGATCCTCAGATCTCAGCCTCCTGAGTAGCTAGGAGTGAGCCACTAGCACCTGATGAATTAAACATTTAATTTAAAAAAATCAGTCTTGCTACTGTAAGGCTTAAACTATATAGGAAAATGCTGATTTAATTATCCATGTTGTATTCATACATCAAAATATCACAGTGTACTGTATGAATATACAATGTTTTTTTCCCTCTATAACAAAGTACCTAAGAAAGTCAACATTAGGGAAAAAAAGATTTATTTTGACTCAAGGTTTCAGAATTGCAGTCCATGGTCATTTGGCCCCTTTGAGCCTAAGTCAGGCAGTTTATCATGCTGGAAGGGCATGGCGGAGCTGATCACTTCATGGAGGGGGGTGGGGAAAAAGAGGGATAGAAAGGGAAGGAAGGAAGGAGGGAGGGAGGGAGGGATGGAGAGAGAAAAGAAGGAAGAAAAGGAGGGAGGGAAGGGAGAGAAGTGGTGGGGGGGAGAAAAAAACAGAATCTGAGAAAGTTGTCTTGGGACAAGAATTAACCCATTGAGGAAGATAGAGCCCAGGTGACCCAATCAGCTCAGATCACTGACTGCTTTAGGATCCAGCCTTTAGTGAAAGAACTCTTAGGGACATTTCCCATCTAAACCATGAAAACTACTGTTGATTAAAAAATATTAATTTAGGGGCTGGGAAGGTGGCTCAGTGGTAGTGTTTGCCTAACATGCATGAGGCCCTGGGTTCCATTCCTCAGCACCACATAAGCAGAAAAAGCTGGAAGTGGTGCTGTGTCTCAAGTGATAGAGCGCTAGCCTTCAGCTGAAGAGCTGAGGGACAGTGTCCAGACCCAGAGTTTAGGGGCTGGGAAGGTAGCTCAGTGGTAGAGTGCTTGCCTTGCATGCATGAAGTTTGCATGCATGAAGTTCTGTATTCAATTCCTCAACACCACATAAGCAGAAAAAGCTGGAAGTGGCACTGTGGCTCAAGTGGTAGAGCTCTAGCTTTGATCTGAAGAGCAGAGAGTCAGTGCACAGGCCCAAAGATCAAGCCCCATGACCGACAAAAAAAAAAGTAATTTAAAAACCATAATGGGATATTCAACATAAAAGACAAGGACTTGTTCCATCTACAACTATCTCATTTTCAAAGGAAAAAGGCTCTAAGATGACACACACATGCACATCTCTATTCTTTTTTAAAATGTACTGTTATAGTTATTTAATATAGTTATTTCATATTGTTATAGTTTATTGTACAGAGTTGTTTCCATGCCAGAAGTCAGATAATCAGTACAGTTCATTTTGGACAAGGTCACCCCTTCGTTCACTTACCCACAGTTACATTTCTATTCTTTCATGGGCTCATACTATATATACAAACATATAACACATACACATATGAGTACATATGTATATGTATATATATTTTTGACACTCAGGAAATATATTTACAACATAGATGGGAAACATACTAAAAACCCAACAATGGGGAAATGGTTAAATATTAAAATTAATGGAATATTATTCATACATTGAGGTTCTTTTGAGACATACTAAGAATTTACACTGAGTGAAAATGTAGATTATCAAATTATATCAAGTATAAAATCATCTCAACAATACAAAGAAATATATAAAAAAAGTTCTGAGAAAGATTTAAAAGATTTCTTTTGTTTTAATTAAAATCTACTAAAAATTTTAAAAAATAACTAAAGAGATCCTTCCAGGCGCTAGTGGCTCATGCCTGTAATCTTCAGGAGGCTGAGATCTGTGGATCATGGTTCAAAGCCAGCCAGGGCTGGAAGAGTCTGTGAGATTCTTATCTCCAATAAACCACTCAGAGAACTGGAAGTGGTACTGTGGCTCAAGTGGTAGAGTGCTTGCTTTGAGCTGAAGAGCACAGGGACAGTGCCCAGGCCCAGAGTTCAAGCCCCTATGACCAACAACAACAAAAAACAACAACCAAACACCCCCCCCCAAAAAAACCCTGAAGAGATCCTATATTTTTAGCCATGCTTTTGACAAAATCACCACCACCCAGGGATCCTCTGGCAAAGAGGATCTCTGTGTGTGAAATTATGATAAATTATGATTGCTTTTCTTTTATGTTTCAAAGATAAATTTTAATATATCAAGGGGAGATATTTTTTTTTGTTTTTTTGGGGGGGGGTCCGGTCGTGGGGCCTGAACTCTGGGCCTGGACGCTGTCCCTCAGCTCTTCAGCTCAAGGCTAGCACTCTACCACTTGAGCCACAACGCCACTTCTGGCTTTTTTCTTTTTGCTTATGTGGTGCTGAGGAATCGAACCCAGGGCCTCAGGCATGCAAGGCACTGAGCCACCTTCCCATCCCCTCAAGGGGAGATATTTTAGAACATGTTTCCTGAGTTTATCTAGTCTTTCTGATACTGGAAAACTATAACACCTGGATTGAGTTCTTTCTATGATCTTGAAGAATGAGTCCACAGACAAACAGAACTCCCGCTAGACAAGAGGGGTCTAAAGAGGAGGCATTGTTTGGGTGACATTATACAGGGGTTAATAAGGTGTCTCGAGTGACCAAGATTTCATTGGACAGCCTGAGAGCCATATCAGTCCCCAGACCCAATCAGAGGCTGCACACATCCTGCATGAGCTCTTGGTGCATCCTTTGTCCTCTCTGACTGACCATTTAGGCCCCATCTCTAGAATCCAATCAGCCCTGTTACTAATATGTGCAGGTCTTCCAGGGTTCAGGGGCTATGACCTGATACCCAAGGGCCTGAATGTGTGATTGCTCAAGGCCATGGTGATGTGATATCTAGGGGCCTGAACACAAGCCTGTACAAGGCCGTGGTGAGGGATACAGAGTCTCTATGGAGAAGCCTTTGCCCTGATTGCCTAGCCAGGTTTTTTCTGCTCTCATTTCCACACTATGAGAATAGATGGAGTCACAGGCAAGATTATCGTCTGTCTTCTGACTTTCCCTGTAACCTGTAAAATCCCCAATTGGATTGTCCTGTCTGTAAATCAAATAGGAAAATGGCACCCACCTTACTGAATCTTTCAGGATTCAGGGAGCCACATCCAGAGATAAGGACTCCATCTGGCACATGGTAGGCCAGCTGCAGAATCATACTTCTCCAATCCATCTAGGGGTCAGTAGCTTTGTTTAGGTAGTCTTTGGAAATAAGTTCACTTTGGTCCAGAAGACAGCTAGTATGGTGGTCAGGTGGATGCCTGTTAACCAATAATTTGAAGGGTGCAAAAGCATCCTGCAAAAAAGAAAATATGCATACAAAAGAAAATAGTTCTTTTCTTTTTATTTTCCTTTTTTTTTCTTTTGCTGGTGCTGGGGTTTGAACTTGGGACCTTACCTTCTTACTCCATTTTTTTCCCCCTCATGGCTAGCACTCTACCACTTGATCTGCAGCTCTACTTCTGGCTTTCTGTTATTCATTGGAAATAAGAGTCTCATACTTTCTGCCTGGGCTGGCTTTGAACCATGATCCTCAGATCTCAGCCTCCTGAGTAGATAGGATTACAGACATAGATCACTGGTTCCTGGTACTGAAAAGCTCCATTTTAAGACACTTCTTCATTAGATAAATGGCAATCGGCATAAAATGCTACTGAGCCAGGTACTAGTGGTTTTTACTGCTTAATTGGAGACAGTCTCTCCAATTTTTCTTCCCAGGCTGACTTTGAACCTCAATCCCCCAGGCTTCAGCCTCCTTAGTAGCTAGGATTGCAGGCATCAGTCACTGGCACTCAGCTTATATACCCAAGTTTAAATGTTTTCTTTTTTCCCTCCTCTTTCCAGTGAACCAGCTACATTTCAGAAATATCAGCAAGTGAGTCTGCTGGCAAGATTTAATCAAGATCTGGATAAAGTGGCAGCCGTGTCCTTGGTGTTTTCTACAGGGTCTGTGATAGGCCCGAAGTACAAGCTCAGGATCCTCCGGATGAAACTCAGGTCCCTTGTCCATCCAGAGAGGTGAGCTGAAGGCAGGGTTTGACAAACTTTCTTCTCCCCCATATTCTCTCATTTCCTTCCTCTCCTCCCCCCTCCCTCCCTGCCTGCCTCCCTCCATCCCTTCTTCCCTTCCTTCTTTCCTTTCTCTCATCCTCTTTTCTTCCTCTTCCTCCTCCTCCTCCTCTTCCTCCTCCTCCTCCTTCTCCATCTTCCTTCTCCTCCTTTTTAGACATAGAATCTCCTAATGTAGCCCAGGATTGTCTCAAACGCTCAAACCTTTTACCTTGGTTTCCCAAGTGCTGGTATTACAGGCATGCACTACCAAACCCAGCCCAGACCCTTGTTTTCCAATGATGTTATTGAATACTAACCAGTCCACTTGGTCTGTTTTTTTCTTTGGTTTGGTCCAGGTACTTGGACTTGATCTCAGGGGCCCTCTCAAGGCTGGGTGCTGTACCATGTGAGCCACATTGTTACTTCTGGCTTCCCTTCTTCCCCCCGCCTTGGTTATTAGGTGATAAAAGTCTCCCAGGCTTTTCTGTCTGGGCTAGCTTCGAACCTTGATCTCAGATCTCAGCCTTCTGAGTAGCTAGGATTACAGGCCTGAGCCACCAGGCCTGGCTGCTATGACATTTTTGTGAGGATTCCAGTATTCATAGTGAAGAAAGTAATAGGCTTTCCAAAAAAGCAGGCTTGATTAAAAACAAATAGGCTGGTTAGGGCTTGGTGTTGCACTCCTGTAATCCTAGCATGCGTGAGGCTGAGACAGAAGATTCTGAATTTGAGACTAGCAAGAACTATGGAACCAGACTCTCCCTCAAGAAAACTAAAGCAAATAAAACAAGTAAAAACAATTAACTGGACAGTAATTCTAGAAAATGATGTGCTCAGGGCTGGGAAGGTAGCTCAGTGGTAGAGTGCTTGCCTTGCATGCATGAGGCCCTGGGTTTGATTCCTTAGTACCGCATAAGCAAAAAGAAAAAAGCCAGAAGTGGCACTGTGGCTCAAGTGGTAGAGCGCTAGCCTTGAGCTGAAGAGCTGAGGGACAGCACCCAGTCCCAGAGTTCAGGCTCCATGACCGGACCAAAAAAAAGAAAAGAAAAGAAAATGATGTGCTCATATAGCCCCCAAATCTAAAGGGATTTAGAGTAAGACAGCCTCCCAGACCTGCCCATGCTACTTGCAAGGTGATACTTTGTTGTAGAAAAGAAAGCTCCCTGCCACTTGGCAAACTGCCAAGACAAAGCCTAATATATTTTTTAAAAGTGTCAACAAAATTGAATTTTCTTCTTGTTGACAATCAATGTACAAGCATTATGGGGATAATATAAAGTTGCTACCTGCACTGAGTAAGAAAATTCATGCTGAAGTATTTAGAAGTAAACAATATATTTTTTGACAAATACCATTCCACCACTTAACGCTGGCATTTAATTTGTGGGACAAGACAGGAAATGACAGGAGCAGATACTTTATGTTTATGGATTTCTTTGTCTTGAAGGTTTAGTGTACTATAAAATATTTAATACATATTTCTTCTTAGAGAAGAGTGATTATATCACAACACTTTTCAAACCTTTTCTTCCTAGCTTTTCAAGGAATACATGTTTACTTTATTTAAAAAAGTACAGATTGGGGCTGGGAAGGTGGCTCAGTGGTAGAGCGCTTGCCTTGCATGCCTGAGGCCCTGGGTTCGATTCCCCAGCACCACATAAGCAAAAAGAAAAAAAGCTGGAAGTGGCGCTGTGGCTCAAGCGGTAGAGCGCTAGCCTTGAGCTGAAGAGCTGAGGGACAGCGCCCAGGCCCAGAGTTCAGGCCCCACGACTGGACCCCCCCCCCAAAAAAAGTACAGATTTAGGAAGCAGAAAAATACCATTATTCAAACATAACCACTGCTGGGCACAGGTGGCTTTGCTTGTAGTGCTAGCCACACAGAAGGCTAAGATCTGAGGACTGCATCTGAAACCTGTGTGGGCAGAAAAATCAGAAATGGGGGTGTGACTCAGTTGGTAGAGCAACAGCCTTGGGGTGAGAGGAATCCAGTTAAGGCCTGAATTCAAGCCTCAGTACTGTGGGGAGGGAGGGAGAAGGAGAGAGAGACAGACATAGAGACAGAGCCCACAAAAGGGCAACTGTATTTTTCCTTCTATTAATGCTTTTTAGCCCAGTTGAACTTGTATGATGAATAGATTTTACAGATGTTGTCTTCTTGCTGATGTATTACCATCAACGTTTCCCCGATTCCATTGGCAATAACTACATATAATTGTGTATATAACCCAACGTCCTTGATTAGAAGGAAGTACTTCTGTTATTTTATTGACAAGGACATTGGGTCTTACTTTTGCAGGGCCCAGTTGTGTCGGTATGATCTTGTCCTGATGGAAAATGTTGAGACAGTCTTCCAACCTATTTTGTGCCCAAAGCTGCAGATGTAGCCACTGGCAGCATTCAGAAGCTCGGCAATGTCAAGCAAACAGCATCTCCAGCCTCTAAAAGCTTCACACGGCCTCTTCTGCAAGGCTCAAAAAGTACAGAGAAACCTGAAGTTATTTTCAGCAGTGTCCTACTAATGTCACGTTGCAAAATGTCAACCGACCTGTGGTTCTGGAATGATCCTGGGGAGGGAGCTCCTAACTAGGGCAAGACAGAAATAACCTGGCTCAGACAGCCCAGAGCTTTGTCTGGCTGCATCCTGGGGCCCTGCTGGTTTGTTCAGATCTGTCAAATCTGCTGCCCATCATGAGGGGCATTTCTGTCCCTCAGAAGTGGGGACAAGCATCTTAAAGGGAAGGATGATGAGCTGGAGACATCATGGACTGTACATTTTTCTTTGTCAGATTCTCTACTGTCCCAGCTGACTGGCAGAGAGGGAGAAACTGGCCTCATGAGGCTACTGTGTAGGTTTGGAGGCAAGTCCTTTGAAATCCCATGGGTCCACATCTGTAAGGTGTGTGATGGATGTGAATGTGCTTTTTATTTATTGTGATAGAGTTTAGTTCCGATCTGTAAGTGGCAGCCTCTTTTCATGAGCACCAACTTCTCTCCTAGACTATTTGCTCCAAGGTGCTAAAAGAGCCACACCCCTGGCTTTTGCCTTCTCTGTGAAGGGGTGCAGATTGCTGGAGGGGCCTGACAGCCCCTTGAGCAGTGCTGGAGGAGAACACAGGCACTGGGGATGGAGCAAGATGCAGGAGAGGCAAGTGCTTGCTTTTCCCTGGGGGAAAGAGGGAGGCCCTCTCTGCAGATGGATCCAGGACCTTGAGCCCACCCCTCCAGTGCTGTAACAAAGAGCTCCAGCCCGGGCAAATCTCATTTTAAGCAATCCTTCAGCTATGTGTACTTTTCCTTACTACTAGTATAATCCATGATTATCGAAGGAGACTGAAACACCGCATAAATACAAAATGGAAAAACATCAACTCTACATCATCACACCTGATTGAGGGGACTAATATTCACCTTTTACAACATTGCTGTAGCTTGAGTGTGAGCACTGGAACTCTGGGAGTGCGCAGGTCTCTACATGGCACATCTTAGGCTTCCCCAAATCTGAAATGACAGAGAAGCCAAGGCCAGAGACAAGAGAACCAAGGGTGCGCAATCCCAGAGGCCCGATGCATCCCACAGCTGGGGACACCCCGGAGAGCATCTGGAATTGCTTACGGCCACTAGCAGTTTCCCTCATCTTCCAAATGACTTCTTCCTCCCTACTTTCTGTGAAAAGCATCCTTATTGTAGAGACACACCTTCTATTTCATAAATAGTAGAAGTGTCTGTGTGTGGCATACGTTTTCCATATTGCATCTGGATCCATTACTGTCTGTTCTACGTATGCAGGGAGGCTCAGCTCTGAATGAAGGGAGGCTCAGCCAGTTTGCTGGGTCATGCATACATCCAGTGAGTCTTGCACTTTTCCTCAGCAGTTCTGGATAGAGAATAGCATCAGAGGCCGCAATTGCCCTTCGTATTTTATTATTTGATTAGTATACATTAGTTGTATAAGGGGAGGAGGCAAACAAGGTATCCTGATCAATTTCACCGCCTCTACCACTCTCCTCTATCCCCCCTGCTACTGTTTTTATTTGTGCTGTTATTGAGGCTTGAACTCGGGGCCTGGGCACTGTTCTTTAGGCTTTTGTTTTTGTTTGAGGCTGTTGCTCTACTACTTGAGCCACACCTCTATGTCAGCTTTTTGTTGGCCAACTGGAGATAAGCATCTCATGGACTTTTGTACCAGGCTTACTTTGAACTTTGATCCTTAGGTCTCAGCCTTCTGAGTAGAATTACTGGCATGGACTATGAGGTTCCTGGCTCTCTGGATTACTTCTGTGTCATAATTCTTTCAAGACCATAAACCCCATAGAGCAGCAACTGTCTTCCCTGCCCAGTGCCAGACATAAAGTAGCTGCATAACAAATGTCTGTGGAGAATGGAATGGAATGAAGTTACTTCCTCTCTGACTGAGAATCAATATACTTGTGTGACAGTTCCAAAATATCTAACTTAAAACCATAAAATCTTGGATCCCTATACCTGCTCTTATTCCTGCACAGATCCATTTTAGCCAGAGAGACTCTGAGCCCAGGAATAGAAATCCCTCATATGAGTTCAAATCTTATTTTACAGAAAGAGAGAGAGAGAGAGAGAGAAAGAAAGAAAGAAAGGAAGAAAGAAAGTCACATGTCTGTCAGCTGTTCCTATTTATAAGTTGATTGTGTCAGGATATTTTGCTACAGCAGCAGGAAATTGACTGATACAACCTCCAAATCTGTTCAGTCTGAGCTCCATATTTTTACCTGAGTGGCAATGTGTAGGGTACCGGAAAGAACATGAGCTCAGGAGGAGGCAGGTATAGGCTTACTTCTGTAGACTTTGTACAAGGGACTTTGAACATCTGTTCATCCACTCAGTGATATGTGAGAGAATGATTCTTGTTTCACTGGGGTGGCATAAGCTTTGTCATGCCTAGTCTTAATAATGCTCATTATATCTCCCTTCAGGCTCCTCCCCAGGCAATGGAAACTTGCTTCCTTCTTCCCTACTCCGTTCTTTGCTCCAGAGCTCACCCAGGCCAGGCTCAGTAATGTTAGTTTCTCACCTATTCTCTTTCCTCCCCAAATCTTGAGGATTTTGAAAGCCAACATGTACCAAGTCAAACTGTCATTTTCTTCCTAGACTTAATATGCTAATTTAATAAACATTTATCATGTGCCAATTATAAGAAAAGATTGGGGCCAGGCAAAGACAGATGAGATGGTCTTACTTATGGAAACACCCTCTGCTGTCTGGGGAGATGTGTATGTAATAGGGGTGCAGGCATTTCTCAGGGAGTCCTGGCATGGAAACAAAACAACTTTCTGACTGTGGAATCTGAAGAAGGCGGCTTCTTCTTCTTCTTTTTCTTCTTCAACTTTTGTTTTTTGCCAGTCCTAGGGCTTGAACTCAGGGCCTGGGCACTGTCCTTGAGCACCATTTGCTCAAGGCTAGCACTCTACCACTTTAGCCACAGTGCCACTTCCAGCCTTTTCTGTTGAAGTGGTACCAAGGAATCAAACCCAAGGGCTTCATACATGCTAGGCAAGCATTCTACCACTAGGCCACATTCCAAGCCCCTGAAGAAGTTTTCTTTGCAGATCAACAGTTGTCCTGAATGTCGATGAAAGACTCTTCCTGCTAGAGGGGGACAAGAACATTGTTGGGGGCATGAGTTGACATGGTGTGTGCTCTGGAAAGCAGTATGGAGGTTCCTCAAAAAACTAAACATAGAACTAACCTCTGACTGAGCAATTCCACTTCTGGGTATTTATCCAATGGAGCACAAACAAAAAAGTAAATCCACCATCCATCCATTCAGTGGATGAATGGGTCAAGAGAATATGGTATATATAAACAATGGAATTCTACTTAATCCCTCAGAAAGAATGATAGTGTACCAGTTGTAAGGCAATGGAAAGAGGTGGAAAATATTATATTTAGTGAAGTAAGCTAGATCCAGAGAAACACAGGTTGCATGGTTTCCCTTATTTGTGGTAGCTAGAATGTGCCTATAAATCTATAAGTAAACATGCTGGGTGGTATGCAAGTAGATACAAGTGAATTAACTTTATGAAGAGCTCAAATAGTATCTTCAGAAAGATTAACTCAAAGCCCAACCAAATAAGTACCAGCAAATGGGCTGCAAGGGGAAAGGGAAGAGCAGAAGGGTAGAAGAATGAAGGGGGAAAATGGGAGAAAGACAAGAATTGAGAAAAATAAGAGAAGGGGTAGCCGAAGAGGGTGAAGATATTGAAGGATGACACAGATCAAGATGTGTTGTATATATAAACTCTTTGTTAAATGACAAAAATCTTCAATACATATCCTAAATATTAAGAAAAGTGAGTGAAGGGGAGGGTTGGGTGAGAATGTTGAAAGGGGTGACATTCATCAAGACGCACTGTATTCATAAACTGCTTTGTTGAATGGCAACTCTTTTGTACAACAACCTAGAAATAATAAAAATATTTTTAAGAAAAACTCCATGGTGTGTGTTCAGCTGGAAAGCAGAGTTGAGAGCCTTCATCCCATCTCCCCCCCCCTTTATTTTGTTGTTGTTGGTCGTGGGGCTTGAACTCTTGAACTCTAGGCCTGGGCACTGTCTCACAGACTTTCCTGCAATCCTCAGATCTGAGCCTCCTAAGTAGCTAGGATTACAGGCCTGATTCACTGGCACCTGACTTACCCCAACTTCCTAAATGGAAAGTTTTAAACATTTAGAAACAGAGAAAAATACTATATAATCCACCTCCATAAATCTATTACCCAAGCTAGGTGCTAGTGGCTCACGCCTGTAATCCTAGCTACTCAGGAGGCTCAGATCTAGGATCATGGTTCAAAGTCAGCCAGGGCAGGAAAATCTGTGAGACTCTTCAATTAATTATCAGAAAATGGAAATGGTGTGCTGGCTCAAAGTGGTAGAGTGTTAGCCTTGAGCAGAAGAGCTCAGGGTCAGTGCTTGGGCCCAGACTTCAAGCCCTACATCTGACCAGAAGAAAAAAGAAATATTACTAAGCGTCAACAATAACCAACTCATGGTCATAGCCAATCTTGTTTTAGCTTTATCTCTATCCACAAACCCTTGTCTTATTATTTTGATGGCAATTCAAGACATTGAATACTTTCATTTGTAAATTTCTCGGCTTTTTTTTTTTTAAGAAAAAGTTTCACTGTATAGCCCAAGCTGGCCTTCAACTCTCCATCCACTGCCCCATCCTGTACGTGCTAGAATTACAGACATGTAATATGTCCAGCTACAGACATGTACTATTATGTTCAGGCTACTTTAGTAGCCTGAAAAGATAAAATGTATCATTTTTTACTGGAAAATGAGACAGAGTATACAATTAGCCTTGCAACTTGTTTTACTTAAATCCTAGCCATTTTCTAGCAATTGCTT